TACTAGCCGAAATTTACGGTGATTGTTTTGCCACAAATTATATCACGAGTTTTGTTTATCAAAGGAACGAATTACTTTAGAGGCTATATGTAACAAAGACGTTATTGCACCAGAAATTTGCAGCACGCAATTGCAAATCAGTCGGGCACGTGTGTGCATCTTCTACAAGTTACTCACCCATCCGAATAAACAATAAAAATCAGGATGGACCCTTTACTTAAGGCGTTTCCTTCATGCAACTTAACAAAATTAAAAATGTAAATACGAGAAAAGCAGCGCACTGCAGCGACAAAAATTCCCACGACATGGAGTAGCATGGTAAAAAAGCCCCGGAAGGTTAGCTTGTCTATCTTTTCGCAACAGAAGGCATCTGTGAAAAGGCGCCGGTGACAGGCTCACCACACTTACTTCGCATAACCGTCTACTTATTACGAAGTAGTAAGCACGTTTTTATCACCACAAATGTACGATACTATCCACACACACTGCAATCTTTAACGTCTTGCGGTTACTTTTAATTGATGTAGTTTTAGTTTACTTTAGTTTTTGTTCTGTTATGCTATTAGTTTGAGTTAAGTTTGGTTTTATTTTTGAGGTTATTATTCATGTGCCGCACGGAACACCTATTTCAGCAGAGTAATCAAAAAGCATGTTCAAACATTAAGGCATACGAGTAATCACACCTACTCAATGTGTGCATGTGCGGTAAAACGATCTCGATTACTCAGCTCCCAGATCTGTTTGTCCCCTCGGGAAGCCATCACTTTGTTCATACTGGCAGGATGCGCCTTGCTCCCCTCGGCGCTTGGCGTGTTGACCACATTGACGATGACCGTGCCCTCCACAGAGTTGCTGCAGACGAACTGGGTCCGCCCCACGGCGGAGATTTGTTTTAAACAGATGCGGCTCGGCGGCATCGTTCCGGACACAGCGTGCAGCGGTCGTGGTGGAGAAATGGACCTCATGGCTTCCTTGTCGGGAGTGCCTGCATAGGAAACATGAATGGTAAAAAGGAGTTCAATTGGATTATCCTCCTCAATCAACTCTCTTCACACCTCGCTTCAAAATGTGGATGAAAGTTAAGTAGGGTCGGAATGTTGTGAGTAAGGGCTTGTTGAAAAACCAGGCTACGTTTACTCGGCAAAAAATCGATATGATGTACAGAAATAAGAATTAGGTCATGAAAGACATCTAAGATGAAAGGGCAGCTGTTGACTCAGGAAGATAAAGTGATCTCGGAGTGCGAAGTAACACGCTTGCAAGCTACGCGATAAGGGAAACTAACGAAAGAAATGTTCACACCAGTGAAGTGAAAATACGAAAAAACGAGGGGAAATCATCATCACATATGGGGACACAGTGCAAATCTTGGCTTAAAGGTAAATATGCAAACTATCAAACTTCAAAAATATCGTCGGGTAGGCTAGGAATAATTCTACTGTCCATTAAGGAGATCGGTAAATGAACCGGCGCCTATAAGGCGTCCTACCGAAGCACTCACGGTCACGGGGTCACACCAGTAGGTGTACTAAGGGGTGTATTGGTACGCATGCTCACGCCCAGACACCTGGGATTCGTGCCGCTGCCCGTTTTAGTTTGTACTTTTTTTTGTTAAAATCGTATTCAAGCGTGCTTCGGACCAGGCTGCCTCGTGGTACGTTTAGTTGCAGATTTTTGCTCCGCCAGCCAACTGCGCTCGCTCCTACCTTGGGTATTCTGGACTCTATCATGACAGCACGGGCCCAGTTGCAGGAGGAGGTGGGAGTGCGGTAAAAGCAGCCTAAGTCTCATATCAAGGGGTGTCAGTATCTCCCGATCTAAACCGTCAAGACAACGAGCTCGTGTCTGAATAGCTAGAGAGTTAGAATCTGATCAAAAGGTCGCGAGTTCGATCCTCGGCTGGTGCACCACTTAAGGCTAATAAACCAGAAATGGCCAGTCCAGTCGCCCTTGTCTTTGCCGGCAGTACTATCTACTATCACCTAATCCAAACGCAAGTCACCGCACCTGCTTCTCTCCTGTCACAAGGCAGGAGCGGTAGAAATATCATAGATATTTCGGTTTGTCGTCCACTCCAACCAATTCCTGAACTAAAGGGCTCATAAGCAAAGTTAACGTCAGCATGGCCTGCCACTCAATAAATGTATAAATAGAAGGCGGGAGAACGTTCTCTGGGACCAGTATTTTATTTGCCCGACGTTTCGGACTCACTCG